CTCTTCGCCACCGATGGATCATGAAGAATTACGGTTTGAAGATCATGTTGGGGTTTGTCTGGAGCGTAGCTATTGTTTTTGCTTCATGCCGCATTCCCTTCCTCAAGGAAACATCTTATCTCGTCCTCGTGGTGTTTTTGCTAAGCTATGGCTTGATTATTATATGCTACGCGACCATCGTGACTTTTCTAGTTAAAGAAAAGCGAAGAAAGAATGAGCTCAGAGCACGAGCCACGGTAGTTGTCGATTCAAAAATCGAGCGCCGCGTGGCGTTTACATTGGCAATGGTAATAGCTATCTTTACTTTGTGTTGGCTTCCGATGATTGTTGTGTTCTTTGCTGCTGGTAAATCCCTTGTTAAGATGTATGGCACCGCTTACATGTGGATCCGATCCTTAGCACTTTCAAATTCGGCCATGAATTTCATCATCTACAGTGCGAGGATTCGTGACTTTCGGGATGCTTTTGCTCTGATATGCCGAAAGACTCTTCACTGTGCGTAATAATTCAGTCGTTGTATGAGGTATCATGGCGGGGGAACGAACTAACCGTCTTAATAATAGTCAATCGTTAACTTTTGGGACAAGACGGGCAAAAGCTATAAGAAAATTAGTGGTGCGCAACAAATCAAGGGGTTGCAACGTTGTGAGAAAATTTAGCCAATTCCGACAGAAACGGACAACAGATATTCAGGGCCTTGAGAGATCTAGAGACACCGGTTAGAAAAAATATTTCCTTTTGAGCTCAGTGATCGACATTAGAAAACTCAACGAAGCAAATAACTATATTTAGAAATCTGGAAAGATCAGTCAATATTTGAGGTTAAAATTGACCCAATTTGCTGAATCGGAAGTAAATCGATAAAGAAAGTTGAGCGTAGGTCTGCACCTCTATCAAAGTATGCGGGGCTTTCAAGATTAATATCACACTAAAAACATAACAGATGTTAAAGTTATTAGTAAATACATCTTATTAGACGTTTTGTTGTGTAGTATCGCTGAGTATTTTTACGAGTTGTGTCGTATTTTGACGCGCCGTAATTACTAAAAGAAGTAATGACCTAAAACCACCTACAACCACCTACAACCATCTAAAACCACCTACAACCACCACCTTAAACCATCTAAAACCACCTACAACCGCCTTCAGAATACTATTGGGTTAGAATTTGTGACAATTTAAATGCATACCGGAAATGTTGTCGCATGTCTCGCATGTCTCGCATGTCATTACCACGGAAAAAAAACCAAGAGAATTTTTTACACGTAGTTACTTAAACAAGGAATGACCAATGACCTACAATGAGCTACTGTGCTAACAAGGAATGACCTAAAATGATCCACAATGATTTCCAACGACTTACAATGAGCTACAATGACCGACAAGGAGCTATTATGAGTGTTACGAAAAATTGTGGCGTGACTTGCGTGACTTTCTAGCCCCATGATGGCGTGATGCCTTTTTTGTTTTGCTGTCTAACAATATCAATAAGTTAAAGGTGTTGGCAGGCGAAATACATCTCATAGTCTCGCGGCGCTGTGATACGTGACCTTATTAATGGTTTGGATATGAAAGTATCAATGAGTAAAAGGTGTTGACAGGCCAAATACGACTCATAGCCTCATGATAGTGTAAAATTATGGGAGGCTTGTTATATAAGACCCTTAAAGACATCTTAAGCCAAAGTTTTTTCGCATTTTTTTTTATCATTATCGTCATTAGACATGTCTCATTATAATACACCGTAAATTTATCTCCAAGCTAGAAATTCTGCTATCATTTGGCCTATTATTCAGTAGAAAAAAAGCAAACACGTTACGTTAATGCACACATGTCTCCTGTTTTTTGTTTATTTGTTTGCCTTTTTTCTAAAATATTCATTTACTTCATTGCAGGGTTCTTACAGTAGCTCATTGTAGGTCATTGGTCATTCCTTGTTTTAGTAACAAGGTAATGACATGCGAGACATGGGACAACATTTCCGGTGTGCATTTAAATTGTCACAAATTGTTACCCAATAGTATTCTGAAGGTGGTTGTAGGTGGTTTTAGATGGTTTTAGATGGTTTTAGGTGGTGGTTGTAGGTAGTTTTAGATGGTTGTAGGTGGTTTGAGGTAATTCCTTCTTTAAGTAATTACGTTTGACGCGCCCGCAGGGCGCGTCAAAATACAAATAACGAGTAAAAATACTCAGCGATACTTCACAACAAAACGTCTAATAAGTTATTTATAATCCAACACGCCAAATTATTATTTCCAGGCCTGTGTTATGTCAGTGCGGGAGAATTTCGTTAAATATTGGTTCCAAGGTGGAAAATCTTTGATTCCTGATGAAAGGGACCAAAGGGTGACAAATAGGCCAACAAGCTAATGATAAAAAGCTAATGATAAAATCATTAGCTTGTTTGCCTATCGCCTATTGCTCATCGCCCGGATATAAAGAATGACAGATTTAAGAATGTTTTTGTAAATAGGCTTATTTATATAATCTTTGATCTTTATAATATGTGTATATAGTATGTCTTATGTATTTTTATCTTTCTATTATTTGTATATAGTATGTCTTATGTATTTTTATCTCTATTATTTGTATACAGTATGCCTTATGTATTTTTTAGACTCCTAACTGCTGATGTAACTTAAGATATGTCTTTTTATCTTAGGAGGAATAAAAATTGGTTGATTGATTGACTGATTGATTGAAAATCATAAAGGCAAAGATAGTCAGAAAGCTTACTTCCTGTAAAACTGAACTAAGAAAATAATTATAATAATTCAAAAGAAGATATTTCTCAATCAAAAGGAAAAACTCACATCAACTGAAAAGCACTTTCCTACCACTCTTCATTTTGTCTGTACTCAACCCACTCCACCCTAACATCAGTATGCATATTCTCCATACTGTTCTCTATACATTTCCTAAGGTGCTGACAAGGAGAATTTGTTTAACAATCAAGAACATCTTAAGTTGGTGATCATTACGTTTATTCTTATGACCTAAACCAGGCGCGTAGTGTCCTTTACGCATATACGCACCTGCGCACTTGAAGTGACCAGAAAGATTTGAAAACAATGTTGTGTTTGCGCCAAGTTTGCTCAAAATAAGGGCAAGACGCTTTGTTCTTTGCTTGTATTCACACAACTATTTCAAACAAGAAATAAAGAACGCAGTATTTTTCGCTCAGTTTACTTAGGTTTTTAGATCATATGTACTTGTGCGTACTTGAAAAAATGACCATGCTACGCGCCTGTAAACGTGTGTTTCAGGGGTGATAATGTAAGGAGAAATTAGACGCTGGTCACTCTTTGGGATTAGAGAGTTCAGCTATGATCAGAATGCCATAATTAACAATAATTCCACGAGCGCGCGTCGAATATGAGATGATAGATAGCCAACGAGGCGCGTAGCGCCGGGTTGGCCATAATCATCTCATATCCAACAAGCGCGAGTGGAATAATTGTTTTATTAAAAAAAACGCCCCCACGATATTAGACAAATCTTCTGGACTTTATTTTGGAAGAAGAAACCGGATGTTACAATGTACAGATTTCAGATTATGGTATGTTGTTTCATACACCATAATGGCTGAGCCAATAAAAAGTCTTCAATTGCATCATCCAATGATCCAGTTTTGAATGAAAACGTATATATCTCCATTTGGCTTGGTTAATATCATTACATCTTACAAAGATTACTGAGCTAACACATCCTCTCTGCAAAGCTTTTGATATGAACATTCTTCAGTACATTCTACATGCATGTAGCAGCTACTCACACTCAAGCAATTAAAAAAATGTCTCTTGCGCTCTTTATATGAGAAGAAAAGTTCCACGGAATAGCTTTTGTGTCACTGAGCTGCTGGTTCATTCTCCTCTTGATTATTCCTTGACGGATTTCAAGTTTTTCATACAAGATATCATAGCTTTCATTACTTTACTTTTGCAGGTTTATGTAAAAGAAATAAAAAAATTCGCTGTCATCTTTGACAATGATTTTTTTTTTCGTCTTAAAGCAGGCAAATATGAATTCGAGGCATTCAAAACAGTACCCTGGTTGATAATTTAAGGTGGCACTGGTCACCGTAACCAGTTTTTAAAACTGACGTTTCAAGCGTTTGCCCTTCGTCAGCGAATGACTCGCTCTTCGTAACGAAGAAGTGCCCGAGCGTGCCAACTTCAAGAGTGCTGAGAGCATGCTGATGCTGAGGCAGCTGAGGTGAGCAGGCCACATCTTCCACATGGACGACTTCAGGATGCCTAAGGCTGTCTTCTGTGGTGAACTGAAGCAAGGCAAGCGAGATCGAGGGGCTCCCAAGAAGCGCTTCAAGACCAGCTGAAGCAACAGCTATCACTGACTGAAATTGACTATACCCAGTGGGAGCACATAGCTGAGGACAGAGAGAGCACTATGGAGAGGCACAATCAAAGCGGCCACAGGACAGTTTAAAGACGAAAGAAAGCTGGCAGCTGACACGAAGCGCCAGAGAAGAAAGTAGGCAGTCGCTCAACCCCCAACATCGGACCAAGCTTTCATCTGCCCGGGCTGTGCCAGGTCCTACAGATCCCGCATTGGACTTCACAGTCACCCCAGAGTGTGTGATCGCAAAAACCGGACATCTTCCCATTGATCTTTAGACCGGACATCTTCCCATTGATCTTTAGACTCGAAGAAACCGCCATTCATTCATATGACACGCGTCCTGCTTACAGCTAGGATCGGCATTGTCAATAACGTGATGTTCGAAAATAGAATAAGAAAGATGGTTGATTTTGAGCTCGGTAAAGAAATAGGGAAAGATTTTGTTCGTCTAATTACGAAAGTGGGACAAAGAAAAATTTCTGAATCCTCGCGGGGAATCGAGCTTCAGATGCTCCGATGCTCTACAACTGTTACGTAATCATACCCTCACGTAGGTTGCAGTTTATATTTACATCTAATATGATCCCTTGAATCTCTCTCTTGGCTACATGTTTGACACTGAATGGCGACTTCGTTCTATTAAACTTTGTGAACTTGACAACAACTAAGCGTCAGAGACTTTGTGGTGAGCAAGGCCCATTACGAAGTTTATATATTCATATACACAATATTGGAAGTCTGGTTATAAAAGGCTTCTAATAGTAACATCACGTTTGTGGTGACCCGTGCCCCCCTAATCACGAGGTGAAAATATCAAACTGCTCAACTTGATTCTCTCACGAAACTCCAGAGTCATTTGATGGAATAGCACAGAAAACTTCAATTAAAATGGTAAGCACTTCAAACTTCTTGATTTGTCCTAGTTTATCCTCTCTTATCTTACAAGACTCGATTGTTCCGTCACCATTCTAAGTCTCTCTCAGGAGTATCGGAATAATAAGGTTCAGATAAGCCCAAAATTGAAAGGGGCCACTCGTGATTTCTAGAAAGCCGAGTCAAAATAAAACAAAAAATTCCGCTTCTCTTGAAATAGTAGTTGTGGTAGTAGCAGCAGTAGTAGTCTTTATTTAAAGAGGGTAGCACATAATAGTTAAAAACTAATAAACTTGTGGCCCTCTACTACATGTGAATGAAAATTACGTAATTAAACTATAAACAATGGACAGGTAATTCTGTAATAAAAATTGAACAAATAAGTAAATACATAATAAAGTTCAATAAAAATCAATGTTTACATCATGGTCCACTAATGATCATATATTGAATGCAAAACGGAAATACGTGAAGCTACAATATCTGTTATTCCCTTGTCGCGTAAAGAACAAGTTAAGATATCTCGACAACATCTGTAATTCAAAAAGTTGGGAATCACGCTATAACGGCGTAAGTTTATATATCAGCTTTGCTTTGTTTCCAGAATCAATCCATGATGAAATTACAGAATATTACATTGAAATACAGTGCGAATACTTCAAGTGACTCAACAGACGATTGTGTCCTTCCACAAACGCATGGCGTGGTTCTTATGATAGTTAACTCTGTAGCAGCTGTGGTAGGAACCTGTGGAAACATTATGGTCTGTATTGCGGTGCTCACGAGCCCTCGTCTTCGTCGCAGCTCCAACTTTCTTCTACTCAGTCTGGCCATTGCTGATTTGGTAGTGACGATGATCTGCGAGCCTTTGGTGGTTGCAATTGTCGGCAAGAGAGCGTTTTTCCATGACTGTGCATCCAGCCTGGAGCTTGCCTATGTTGTTAGCTCCAACCTCTCGTGTGCTGCATCCGTTATGCACCTCGCAGCCATCAGCGTGGACCGTTTCCTTGCCGTTGTCTACCCTCTCCGCCACAGACGGATCATGCAGAACTATGGTTTGAAGATCATGTTGGGAGTTGTTTGGGGCGTAGCCATTATTTTCGCTTCATGCCGCGTTCTCTTCCTCAAGGAAACATCTTATCTCGTCTTCGTTATGTTTATAGTAAGCTATGCCTTGATTATTATCTGCTACGCGACCATCGTGACTTTTTTGGTCAAAGAAAAGCTAAGAAAGAATGAGCTCAGAGCACGACCCAAGGTAGCTGTCAATACAAAAATCGAGCGCCGCGTGGCGTTTACATTGGCAATGGTAATAGCTGTCTTTACCGCATGTTGGCTTCCGATGATTGTTGTGTTCTTTGCTGCTGGTAAGTCCCTTGTAAAGATGTATGGCACCGCTTACATGTGGATCCGATCCTTGGCACTTTCAAATTCAGCCATGAATTTCATNTGTGGAAACATTATGGTCTGTATTGCGGTGCTCACGAGCCCTCGTCTTCGTCGCAGCTCCAACTTTCTTCTACTCAGTCTGGCCATTGCTGATTTGGTAGTGACGATGATCTGCGAACCTTTGGTGGTTGGAATTGTCGGCAAGAGAGCGTTTCTCCATGACTGTGCATCCAGCCTGGAGCTTGCCTACGTTGTTGGCTCCAACCTCTCGTGTGCTGCATCGGTTATGCACCTCGCAGCCATCAGCGTGGACCGTTTTCTTGCCGTTGTCTACCCTCTCCGCCACGGACGGATCATGCAGAACTATGGTTTGAAGATCATGTTGGGAGTTGTTTGGGGCGTAGCCATTATTTTCGCTTCATGCCGCATTCCCTTCCTCAAGGAAACATCTTATCTCGTCTTCGTTATGTTTGTGGTAAGCTACGGCTTGATCATCATCTGCTACGCGACCATCGTGACTTTTCTGGTCAAAGAAAAGCGAAGAAAGAATGAACTTAGAGCACGACCCAAGGTAGTTGTCAATATAAAAATCGAGCGCCGCGTGGCGTTTACATTGGCAATGGTAATAGCTATCTTTACCGCATGTTGGCTTCCGATGATTGTTGTGTTCTTTGCTGCTGGTAAGTCCCTTGTAAAGATGTATGGCACCGCTTACATGTGGATCCGATCCTTGGCACTTTCAAATTCAGCCATGAATTTCATTATCTACAGTGCAAGGATTCGTGACTTTCGGGATGCTTATGCTGTGATATGCCGGAAGACTCTTCACTGCGCGTAATAATTCAGTCGTTGTATAGAGTATCATGGCGGGGGAGAGAAACTAACTTTACATCTAATAGTCAAACGCCAACTTCAGGGTCAAGACAAGCTAAAACATAAGAAAACTAGTGGCGCGGAATAAATCAAGAGGGTGCTATGAATAATCGCTGTGAGACTATTCAGCAAATTTTGAGATAAACAGACAAACATACAACAGACATTTAGGGCCTTGAGAGATCTAGAGACACTGGTCTAAAAATATTTTCTTTACAACTCACCGACAAAAGAAAATGAAACGAGGAGAATAACATAGAGTCTATATTGGAAATCTAGAAACATCGGTCAATATTTGAGGTCAAAATTTACCGAATTTGCTAAAGCGGAAGTAAATCGATAACGAAAGATAATCGCCGATCTAGACTTGTATGTCAGTAAGTGTGCGGGGTTTCAAGGTCAATATTTCACTAAAATACTACAAGTGTTACAAATTATTTCGTGATATGTCGCTCAGAATTTGATTAGTAATATTTTTTATAGTTAGCTGGAACTGTTTTGAATAATGTAGTGTAATTTTAAAAGAGCTATTTACTTTAAAGTATGGCGCTCTATAAATGCATTTTAATTTAAAATGAATAAAATAAATAACAGATTACTGATCGAAGGTGGCTATTTAAGGGGGACATTGATTGAAATGCGAGGAAAGTTACGACAAATGTCAGGCCAATAGTAGTCGAGGCTTTTAGTAGTTGGTGGAAGATGTAGCATTTGCAAATATTCAGCTACATCGCTGTTTGTGCATCTTGAAAAATCTAGCGTAGATTATATGACAGATAAGGAAGTTCTGCACGTTTAACCCCAAATGTTTCAATACCGATTTCCTTTACCCTCTGTCATACATGCGTCACAACCTACGGTGAGCTCTGACAGTTTGCATCAACATTTTAACCCTTAAACTCCTATAAGTGTTTAACATGTAACTTCTCCCCTTTGATACCCGCACATCATCCAGCAAACAGGTAATAAAAAAATTCAAACTGATTAGGTAGAAGTTGTCATCAAATTCTCGTAACTAATTTCCAAAAAAATTTGTGGCAGGTAGAGGGGAGAATTAACGATCAGATCTTGGTAGTTAAAGGGTTCAGGTGAAATTACTAATTGGTGTCTGTACAAGGAGTGAAAGGATCATCGGAGAAGTGTTGAGGCAATTTGTAAAAAAATAAATCTTTTTCCACGCACCAGATGAAACAACTACTTCTTTTCCTTTTACTTAGATGTTCTATTTATTTCTTTTTACTCATGAAATGTTAGTTCCAAGGTGGAAAATCTTTGATTCTCGATGATTTATCACTTAAAAAGGGACAAAAGGGTGACATATAGGGAAACAAATAATAATAAAATCGTAAAGGCAAAGATGGCCAGGAAGCTTACTTCCTGTAAAACTGAACTAAGATAAAAAAAATTACAATAATTCAAAACAAGAAATTTCTCAATCAGAAGGAAAAACTCACTTCAACTGAAAAGCACCTTCCTACTACTCTTCATAATGTCTGTACTTAACCCACTCCACCCTAACATCAGTTTGCATATTCTCCATACTGCTCTCTATACATTTCCTAAGGTGCTGACAAAGAGAATTTGTGTAACAATCAAGAGCGTCTTTAGTTGGTGATCATTGCGTTTATTCTGATGACCTAAACGTGTGTTTCAGGGGGGTGATAATGTAAGGAGAAAATAGATGCTAGTCACTCTTAGGGATTAAAGGGGTTCAGCTATGATCAGAATGCCATAAAAATGTATGTACATATATATCACCACTTACTGGTTTCTATCATTGCATCTTACAAAGCTTACTGAACTAACACATCCTCTCTGCAAAGCTTTTGATATGAACATTCTTCAGTATATTTTTCATGTATGCAGCAGCTGGTCACACTCAAGCAATTAAAATAATGTTTCTTACGCTCTTGAATAGCTTTTGTGTCACTGAGCTGCTGGCTCATTCTCGTCTTGATCATTTTTTGACGGATCTCCTGTTTTTCACACGAGGTATCGTAGCTTTCATTATTTCGCTTTTGTAGGTTTATGTAAAAGAAATAAAAATAAATAAATAAATCGCTCTCATCTTTGACAATGATTTTGTTTTCGTCTTATAGCAGGCAAATATGGATTCGAGGCATTCAAAACAGTACCCTGGTTGTTGCTTTTCCTTTCTACTGCCATGATTTTTGATAAATTAAGGTAGTTCTCATCTTTTACAATAAATATTTTTGTCTTGAAGGGGGCGAATTCAGATGCGAAGCATTCAATATTTTTTGATAATTTAAGGTGGCACTGGTCACCGTAAATAGTTAATAAAACTGACGTTTCAAGCGTGGGCCCTTCGTCAGCGAATGATTCGCTCTTAAGAAGGATCCGTCAACCCTTTCGCTATTAGAAATGGCCAAAAATGGATTTTTCCTTGGAATATCTGTGTACTTTTAAGCGGAAGGGTGCCGAGGAGAAAGCAGAGTTTTACGCTTCACTAGAACTATCTACAATACTGGAAGTAGAGAAGGATGTTGCTCGTCTCGTCACCATCGTGGGACAAAGAAAAAATGAGTCTCCATGAGGAACGAAACCTTAGACCTTCGCATACCGGTCTTCGATGCTTTACCACTGAGCCACAGAGACTCCATGGTGAACTATGCCCATTATGAAGTCCATTCATGACACGCGTCCTATCTAATCCGGAGAGCCAGTCAGCCAAGTCAACATACAGACAGGCCAGCAGGGACAAGTGAAGCACAATGGGGAGTTTTCCAACTCATTCCCCATTGAGAATGGTGTGAAGCAGGGTTGTGTCCTCGTGCCAACTCTCTTTGCCATCTTCTTCGCCATGTTGCTTCGAGAAGCAAAGAAAGATCTATTTGACGGCATCTACATCCGGTACCGTACGGATGGTAGTGTGTTCAACCTGCGCCGCCAACTGTCCCGCACCAAGAACTTATCACTGAATGGCTGTTTGCTGGTGATTGTGCCCTCCTGGCGCACACAGAGGAACTTCCTCTGGGCGGCCCTCCTGCTTCGCCAACGTAGTAACAGCCTTTGGATTGACCATCAGTCTCAAGGGAACAGAAGTCATGTGCCGGAAAGCCCCCTGTGACACCTACCACCCACCCAAGCATCAAAATCAACGGACACCAGCTAAACGCAGTGGACACTTTGACTAACCTTAGTATCGTCATCTCCAATGATGCCACTGTTACAACAAAGGATGTCGAAATCTGCATTGCCAAAGCAAGCAGCTCCTTTGGACGCCTTCAAAAGCGTGTTTGGAAAAACCACTTTCTCCGCATCGAAACAAAGATCAAGGTTTATAGGACTGTAGTGATGACCACCATCCACTATGGCTCATAGCCCTTGGTTCTCTACAGAAAGCAAATGAAACTGCTAGAGAAATTCCACCAGAGATGCCTTCGTTACATCATGAACATACACTGGCAGGACTACATCATAAACGAAGAAGTGCCCGAGCGTGCCAACTTCAAGAGTGCTGAGAGCATGCTGATGCTGAGGTGAGCAGGCCACATCTTCCACATGGATGACTTCAGGATGCCTAAGGCTGTCTTCTGTGGTGAGCTGAAGCAAGGCAAGCGAGATCGAGGGGCTCCCAAGGAGCACTTCAAAGACCAGCTGAAGCGACAGCTATCACTGACTAAAATTGACCATACCCAGTGGGAGCAAATAGCTGAAGACAAAGCATTATGGAGGGCCACAATCAAAACGGCCACAGGACAGTTTGAAGAAGAAAGAAAGCTGGCACCTTACACCGAGCGCCAGAGAAGAAAGTAGGCAGTCGCACAACCCCCAACATCGGACCAAGCCTTCATCTGCCCGGGCTGCGCCAGGCCCTGCAGATCTCGGATTGGACTTCACAGTCACCTCAGAGCGTGTGTTCGCAAAAACCGGACATCTTCCCATTGATCTGCGGACTCGAAGAAACCGCCATTCATTCATATGACACGCGTCCTGCTTACAGGTAGGATCGGCAATGTCGCTAACGTGATGTTCGAAAATAGAATAAGAAAGATGATTGATTTTGAGCTCGGTAAAGAGATAGGGAAAGATATTGTTTGTCTTGTCACGAACGTGGGACAAAGAAAAAATTCTAAGTCCTCATGACGAATCGAACTTCAGATGCTCCGATGCTCTACAACTAAGCCTCAGAGACTTTGTGGTGAGCAAGACTCATTACGAATTTCATATATTCATATACACAATACCGGAAGTCTGCTTATAAGAGGCTTATAATAGTAACATCACGTATTTGGTGACCCATGGCCTCGCAGGCGTGAGGTGAAAATATCAAACTGCTCAGCTTGATTCTCTCACGGAACTCCGGAGTCATTTGATGAAACAACACAGGAAACTTTAATTAAAATGAGAGGCTTTCAAATTTTTTTATTTGTCCTAGTTGATCCTCTCTCGTCTTAGAAGACTCGATTGTTCCATCAGTATCATAAGTCTCTCTTAGGAGTATCGAAATATGATGGGGGTGAAGATTAGCCCAAAATTGAAAGGGGCCACGCGTGATTTCTAGGAAGCTGAGTCAAAATAAAAACAAAGTATTACGCTTCTATTGAAATACAAATCAGCGTTTACGTCACGGTCCACGTATGCTCATGTATCGAATGCAAAACTAAAGAATCTGAAGCTACAATATCTGTTATACCCTTGTCGTGCAAAGAACAAGTTAAGATATCTCGACAACATCTGTAGTTCACCGCACAAACAATTGGGAATCACGCCATAATTGCTCGGCTCTTGAGGAAGTAAACAGCCAAGTTTATATATCAGCTTTGCTTTATTTCCAGAAGCAACTAATAATGAATCTACAGAACATTTCATTGGAATACAACGCGAGTACTTCAAGTAACTCAACAGACGATTGTGTCCTTCCACAGACGCATGGCGTGGTTCTTATGATAGTTAACTCTGTAGCAGCTGTTGTAGGAACCTGTGGAAACATTATGGTCTGTATGGCGGTGCTCACGAGCCCTCGTCTTCGTCGCAGCTCCAACTTTCTTCTACTCAGTCTGGCCATTGCTGATTTGGTAGTGACGATGATCTGCGAGCCTTTGGTGGTTGCAATTGTCGGCAAGAGAGCATTTCTCCATGACTGTGCATCCAACCTGGAGCTTGCCTACGTTGTTGGCTCCAACCTCTCGTGTGCTGCATCGGTTATGCACCTCGCAGCCATCAGCGTGGACCGTTTTCTTGCCGTTGTCTACCCTCTCCGCCACGGACGGATCATGCAGAACTATGGTTTGAAGATCATGTTGGGAGTTGTTTGGGGCGTAGCCATTATTTTCGCTTCATGCCGCATTCCCTTCCTCAAGGAAACATCTTATCTCGTCTTCGTTATGTTTGTGGTAAGCTACGGCTTGATCATCATCTGCTACGCGACCATCGTGACTTTTCTGGTCAAAGAAAAGCGAAGAAAGAATGAACTTAGAGCACGACCCAAGGTAGTTGTCAATATAAAAATCGAGCGCCGCGTGGCGTTTACATTGGCAATGGTAATAGCTATCTTTACGCGTTGTTGGCTTCCGATGATTGTTGTGTTCTTTGCTGCTGGTAACTCCCTTGTTAAGATGTATGGCACCGCTTACATGTGGATCCGATCCTTGGCACTTTCAAATTCAGCCATGAATTTCATCATCTACAGTGCAAGGATTCGTGACTTTCGGGATGCTTATGCTCTGATATGCCGGAAGACTCTTCACTGCGCGTAATAATTCAGTCGTTGTATAGAGTATCATGGCGGGGGAAAGAAACAACTATACATCTAATAGTCAAACGCCAACTTCAGGGTTAAGACAAGCTAAAACAATAAGAAAACTAGTGGCGCAGAATAAATGAAGAGGGTGCTATGAATAATCGCTGTGAGACTATTTAGGAAATTTCGAGATAAACAGATAAACAGACCACAGACATTTAGGACCTTGAGAGATCAGAGACATTGGTTCTAAAAATATTTTCTTTACAACTCAATGACAAAAGAAAATTCAACGAAGAAAATAACGCAGAGTCTGTATTGGAAATCTAGAAACATCGGTCGATATTTGAGGTAAAATTAAATCAAGTTGCAAAAGCGGAAGTGAATCGATAACGAAAGATAATCGCAGATCTAGACCTGTATTTTAGTGTGCGGGGCTTCAAGGTTAATATCTGACTAAAATACCACAAATGTTACAAACGATTTTGTGATCTGTGGATTAGAATTTGATAAGTAACCTTTATTATATTAATAATAATAATAATAATAGTAGTTTATTAAACTCTCTTGCAGTAACTTACTGAATTAACGAGTTATGATACAATGAAAAGTTAATAAGAACGACTATGTACATTTCTGTATACATGAAGTACAAGTTATGTACACCACACGGAACATACATCACATTTGTTAAAAATACTTAAAAGTGAAAAAGTCTTCGGTGCGCTTCGTTCTACAGGCAGTAATGTTTCTGTAAAGATACAACTAGTCTGATTTGTGCCTGAGGCTATAGGGATAGGTATCATCTAAGAGTGTTGGTAGAAGAGGATGGAGAGCGTGCTTTAAGTCCTTCATTTTGCACATATACTCTTTACATATCTTATCTCTTCTATACGCAAGGGTCTCCACCCGTGCTAACTCGAGGGCTTCTGAGTAACTATCGGCACATGGGAAAATTATCTTAAGCACCCTTTTCTGTATGGATTCAATTTTGTCAGACAGATAACCTGGAATGGATTGCCATACTGGTACGGCGTACTCTATAACAGATCTAACAGCGCTTGTATAGACCTTTAACATGCTACCTTGGTCAACGCCGGCTCGACGTAGAATACGTAGAGAGTAGAGCTTCTTGCAAGCTTTTTTATATATGTAGTTAACATGACTATTCCACCTAAGGTCGCTATCGATGAATACTCCTAGAATCTTGTAAGTCGATACGCGTTCTATAGTGTTATTACCAATAACTAATGGTCTGAGAGTAAAATTAGGATACGACATAAAGTTAATTAACATCTCTTTACATTTAGTAGGGTTTAGTCTCATGTTATGGTCCATGGAGAATTCGTGAATGTTAGAAACGATCGTATTGAGCAGACTGATAGAGTTCCTGGGTAGTATTTCTATGGCAGACGTGTCATCCACAAACTTGACTCTCAGGTGCCAATCAGCTAAAAGATTGTTTGTCATTATTGTGAAAAGTATCACTCCTAATTTAGTTCCCTGCGGCACACCTCCCTTGAGGAATTTCCA